TGTTATTTTTGAACGATTAACCTTATTCTGTTTAAATTAATTTTATTAAGTATGTTAATGACCTGACGGTGTTTATTCCATTTAACTCTCACTTAGATTGCTTTAAACTAAATGAATTCTTCTCTGTAGTTGGCCAATAGTCTCTCTCAAATGGTTTCAAGTTAAACGCTTCTAAATGTCAGACTGTTAATTTTAGCCTTAAGAGTAGACAAGACTTGTGTTAGCTACTTAAATCTCATGACGCCTGTTGCATTGATGGTATTTGTGCAGAAAGTAGATCAAGTGTTAACTATCTTGTGTTAAGTTTTGCTTCTGACCTTTGTTGGTCGTCTCATATTTTGTTAACTTGTAAAAAAATCTTTCGTTTAACTTATAAAGAAACTGAGGCTCTCTGGTATAACTCAACCTCTTCTTTTACAATTTATTAATTCCTTCATTTGATATGTTCTTCTCTGTTGTTCCCCATTGATCTTTCCTAATCTTCTAAAGAGGATTATGTTATATTTCGTAGGGCATTCAAAGCCATCAACAGGGTGAGTGGTGTGCATCTGGCCCAACTGATTAACACTGTAGTTGATAGACATTTAAAATGTAACAAGCAACAAGCTGCAGAAATTTTAACTGACACTGAGCATCCAATTCATTCACAGTTCTCTCCGTGTATCTCCTCAGGGAGGACAAGGTGAAACTGCATAAGACTGCATGCTTGTACAGCTAAGTATAAGAATTCGACTTTACCGTACCTAGCAAGGGTATTTTGTGAGGACACGTGTTAGAACAGAAATCACACATCAACTTTGTAGTAGTTAAAAATCACATTTCTATAATTTAACTAACAATGTAAAATTTCCTCGTTTTTAATCTTCTTTACATAACTTAAATTTTTATGATAAAACAATTCGAAATGTTGTTGTTGTGGCAATATATCTTGCTGATAATCCCAAATTGTACCACAAATTGTTTGGAATGAGGTGAATTATTATTATTATTGTTATTATTATTATTATTATTAGCAATGCTACAAAGACTTTATGATCGAAATCCTCCAGCCTCTTCATGTCTTCTACTTTTAACGGCTGTGTCTCACAAGACAGAATAGATTGCGACACAGTATATTTGTTTTTCGATGTATAGTCGAATATCTCTCCTGAGCCCCATGTGACGCAAGTTGGCAAATGCCAAACGTGTCTTCTGTGTCCAGGCTGTGATTTCGTCAGCAGCCAGCCCGTTTGGAGGGCTGATGCAAGTGAAGTTGTCTACACATTCAACCACTTCACTCCCTACCAGTGAACTGGGAGTACTTGCAGCAGACCAGTCCTGCAAGATCATCTCATGTTAGACGGGTGCCAGTGGAACAAATGCCAAACATACTCAAATTTCTGCTCAACATATCCAGAAGACTCTGCATTGCATCCGGGTTTTCATCTATCGCGACAATATCATCTGCACACTCCAAGTCAACCAGATGTCTTGCAAGCAGTAAATCCATCCCTTTGAAGTCAGATGTACTTAAGATTACGTCCATTAGTAAGTCTTTGACGAAGTTGAGTGGGAACGGGGACAGTGGACTCCTTTGCGAACACCACCAGTTATCATCATTTCTGATGAAAACTCTCGATAAGTCTTTACACGCCTGCGTGTATTCAAGTGGAGAGGTCTAATTAGTGTTAAATACTTTCTGAGTAATCCATCATGGTCAGGGACTACCGCAACACCTTACGGTCAACACGGTCAAATGCCACCTTCAGGTCAAGAAATATGGCAAGTGTCGGCCACTGTTAGGTAGGTATGTCTGTCTTACAGGACCTCTCGAAAGGGTAAAAATATGATCGCTGCACACTTGAGCAAGTCTGAAGCCCGCATGGTTTTCTCGCGTTTTCTGTTCTCGAACTCAAGTTTGGCATCGGATAATTATAGATCCTAAGATCTTGAACACAATGTTAGTGAAATTTATTCGCCTCTTATAGACTGAGATGGTCAGTGAAGCAGATCATTCTGACGGCACTACCTCTGATTTCTAAATACTGCCTTGTACCTCGGTCACTAATTAGCAGTTTCCTGGCTCCATCCTTGAAAACATCAGGTGGCAAATCGTCAGATCCTGGTACTTTGAATCATTTCGGGTTCAGCACAGCTTTCTGAACTTCATGGAGAGTTAGAGTAACGACATCTGCGTCCCATTCAGGTTCAGACCGGTTATTGGGCAACTGAAGCGTTACTAAGAGACCGTTGAACTATGCTTCAGCACGTTCTGCCTAACTTTCTATCTACTTATCCTAGGAGGTTATCAGCGTTCCTTTGTTTTTTGCAATGGCTTCACTGACCTTCATCTTCTTGATGGTATCCCTAATAAGCCCTTCTAGTTCCTGAGTGTTTACCAACACAGTGGCCCCCTCTCGCTTTCATCACCCGTCACTGCAAAAGCTCTTGATCAACTTATGTTTGAGCTGCTTTCACTTTTCGTCGCAGTCAGAGGAAACTAGAATCAGTCATTGAGGATGACGTCTCAGAAATCCAGTGACGTTTGTTAACCTTCGGGTGTAGGTTGTCGATTGTCTCCGCCATTGTTTCTACACAAGATTTAACATCACGCCAGGTTTTCTCAGGATGAGCATTGCTGTCATGTTCAGATAAATGCTTAGCTGCCTCTTACCGAAATCCATTCTTAACTTTCTCGTCTTCCAATAGACAACACACAGGGTTTATTATTGCCTGTTCCGTGTGACCGCTAAGAAGTAGACATGCACAAGCTCGTACTAGCACGTGATAGGAGTCCAAACTTGTACTCTGGTAAGAGCAGCAATCCTTTACCGATCTGCTCCAGGGATGGCTTCTAGCAGTGTGATCTATCTGTCTGTGTCCATCGTTGGTTTGAAGTCGGCTTGGGCCATGTGATAAAATGTCTCTTCTCATGCCCAAAGTTAGTACTAACCAGAAACAGGTGACTGTTGGGACGAAATTGCAACAGATAATCATCGCTGTCGCTTCGTTGACATGCAGTTCTATAAATAGCCCCGAGATATCATTCTGATTTACTCAGTCCCCCTACTTGAGCATTAAAATGACATGTCATTACGACTGCATCTGAATGTTTCGCCTTCTGTAGAAAATTTGACAGCTTTTCATGGAACTTATCTTTTGCGTCTTCTGAATTGCAATCGGTGCGTGCGAAGTTGAAGATTACGAATAAGCATCGCCATGTTTCACGTTGCTTCCCAGTCTTTACAGATCCATTCAGTCTAACAGCACATAGTCGGCGGTTGATTGGTATTCAGTTAGCAGGGGCAGTTTCCGCTCTGCATCTAAACTCTACGTCTACACTGTTGAGTAAATGGAAACCAACCATTGGGTCTTCAGATACTCTTAATGTGACCTTTAAAGATTCACTACTTTGACCTGGCAAGATCAATTTAATAACCACACTCAAGTTCTGTATACGTTTTTTAGAAATAAAACATTCTTCCATGGCTGGGTATTCCAGCGATTTGCTGAGCGATGCTTCCTATCTGGCTTGGACTTTGAGAGCTGCTATAATAAAATGATAGCTGAGTTTTAGGAGGTTAGAAATGATGATTCGATGGCTTTGATCTTTAAAAATGGTCACAGAATGGGAGCTTGGGGAAAGTATAAGGGGCTTAATAATAATATCAGAAGGTGAAAGCAGAGGAGAAGACAGAGTTGAGGGGGAAAGGTTATGTTCGATTGGGTCTTGTGTACTACTGGAAGTGTGCAGGCGGTTGACACTTCCCGGCTGCCCACATCGTGGAAGACCATTTCTTCTTAAATATACTTATCAGAGAAGAGATTTGTATGACCACAGAGTCCATGGGATATGTTCTTGAGACCTGTCACAAGCAGCCTTTTGTGGGATTTTGTTCTGATATATGGTTATTTTAACACGAGGTAGACAGAACCCATGCCTCTAAGACCGGAATACCACGAGGAAGGCGGAGTGTGCTATTTTTAGGACCGATCCTTTCTTATCTCCCTTCTCCTTGGGAAGGCAGCATCAAAGTGACACTGCTGGTCGTTGAAGGGAAATACCTTACTGCTGCCACACACCATCCAGCTAGAAGCAGTGCTACTTTCTCTTTACACCCACATCATAGTGAAGTAAATTGAAGTGTAGTCAGCCCCTGTGAATCAGTAACAGTTTAAAAATGATAGATTTTTGATTAAATTTCAAGAAAATTATACAACAAATGTATTCCGTTGTACCCTATGGTAAAAGTACGTCTGCTGAATTCTCAACCTGGAGTAAAAATACATTTTGGAGTGAAAAGTATAGTATTCTATTCCTCCGTTTCAACGTACTATTACAACGAAGCCACATTTTTCCTTCCTTCTAATTATTGTTAGTTTAAGTACTTAAACAGCATATAAGAAATAACGTGTTCTTTAGGAGTCAGGATTCAATCTACTGTAAGTTTAGTTCACTAGTCCATAAATTAGGTGATTTCACACTTTACGTATATGTATATTGGTCTGTGGTTTTAGATAACACTGTTCTTACGGCGTTATGTGAAACTTAACTCAATTGGAAATCATTGAATGAAACTACTAATGAGTCTATAGTACTTTGTTTAAAGTGATAAATGCAACTTGGTCAAACTGAATTACAGAAGGCAGTCATGATAAAAGCTGCTTGAAATCTAGTATTTCCGGTTGCTGTTATTAAGGGTAGAACCTCTGATGATGTAGACTACAGTAGCATTGTGCACTACATTGGGAGTGATTTACAAATCCTGGTAATGGCGGTTTCTAGGGTGTATTTTGTTACTATTTTGTACTATTTTGTTATGTCTGGCCTGTAAATTAACTTGTATAATCCCTGTTCCAGCAGTCACCTTTAGATTGATAAATTAGTCGTTTTATGAACAATTTGTCAGCGGTAATGTTCCAGATGGAAGACACCAACTAATATGTAGGCGGATAAATATCCAGCCATCTGAAGCAACTCCATTGTTATCTAAGCAGTTTAAACCTATGGACAACCGTTACGAGAAAAAGAGTGGATAAACATACATTAGAAGCAAGTTAGCAGAAATGTACAAATCCACCACAAATCTATGAATGGAATGGAAACTTATGAATTAGGTTTAATATTTTAGCTTATCTCACCCTTGTATATCATAGATCTTGGAAAGATTACTCTTACTTTGAAAATAAAAATAAAATTATGTACAATAATTCTCACGAAAAGATGTGTAGCCAACAAAGAAAAGTATAGTATATCTATGTGCATAATAAAAATCTTAAATACCTTGGAAGGAATTATTGCTTTGTCTGCTATGCTAATGTCCTCATCATCCACGGAAACAAACTGAATTATGTACAAAACTAAACATTTATCTTTAGGCTACTGACTTATTCAGTGGGAGTGCGTAAATGTTTTTCAAGGAATTGAAATTTAATAACAAGTTAAGTAAGAAAAGGTAGATAACGACAGTTTTGCTTCTTTTAAATAAAAAAGTTAAGTAGGAATAAAAGATAGAAAATAAATCACGTGAAAGTTGAGAATGCAGTCAAATTAATCACAAAACTTGTAAATATTATAGTGAGAAAATTACAGCCTCTGAAATATGAATGATTTTTTAATAGCTTCCTTGGACTTGCTTGGACGCTTTTGGAATTATCTGCAGCATCATGCTTCGGTGTAATTCGTTCATCTGCATTTTCATCATTATTAATAGATTGAGTCATTTGAACCGACTCTAAGTGTTTGGACAATCTTGTCTCATAATTAAATGAACAACCGTCGGGTAGAGTTTCCTTGAAATAATTCATTATTAGTCGAACAGCATTTGACGGGCATGCAACATGTAAAATATTATATAAGCAATCCAGTTTTGCCCTTAATGACCTAAAAAACAAAGTTTAAATATATAATTATTTTCATGCCTGATTCCTAAAATTAAATATTTTTCGACATTTTGACATTATCATGGCCTAGTTAAGATGATCATGTGTCAGTAAACTAATGAAACACTCGAAGATTATACGATGCGGATGTTTCTGATATTCTGACGTTGCTGAAACTGTATAAAATCGTTGAAGACAACCAGCTAGATACAATACGCGAGTGATATTATTTTTATATCTACTGTTGTCAAAGTTCGCCACGAGGTTATTGAATATCTTAGCAGTTTACTCCGTCCTAATCGTTCATCATTTGACAAAACAAGGGCTGACAGAATATTCAAAATAGTCACCAAATTTGCCTCAATGACCAGTAATACTTCTCTGACTCAAGTATAATACACTTTTCGAAGAACTTGAACATAAAGTAAACAAGAAGTTTATTTGTTTATTATTCATGGTCAGATGAGTAAATATCATTAGATTATAATACACAAAACTAGACATTTTTGACTTTATTACATAAATTTAATTACACTATACTGTTTGCACCTAACAATGACCTAAATATATTTCTGGTTTGTTAGGATCATGAATTGAAGTCATTTGGAGAGCCAATGAAAATCTGGAAGCAAGCGGGATTTCAGCTGAGCGCAAATACTCGGTGATGGTATTAGATGGAACTTGCGAATTGACAGGAGAAGGGAAATGTTGACTATTGGATTCAGGTCCATTGGGTCGATCTCAACCTGCTCTAAGCGAAAACTGAAACTCCTGGGTTCGATTTCGGGTGTGGTAGTGGGTATGAAATGCTAAGTTACACATACAAGGAAGAAACAGCAACCCATTGGTCCCAGGTTTCCAGTATTCCGTCAACTGACGTTCACGATAGATACCAACTTGGAATCAGTAGAACCCACAAACTTGCAAAGATGATTGGTTATATGTGTGTGCAACAGTATTTCTTTCCAGAGCCGTTTACACTACATTTATATTTAGCTTCCTGCATGTTACTTGAGCATGTTTTCATTGCCGTCTATCAAATAATGCTGAAAAATTTAAACAGCGTAATGGGAAGATGAAGATTATTTGAAACGTGTGATGTTTTAGAGCTTTACATTTCGAACAATCTTATCACACATGAACTTGTCGAACTATTTATATGAAGATTTACAAAAAGAGCCAATGAAGTTAATAGGAAACATAGGAATAGGATGGGCGGAGAAAAAACAACGAAATCTTAATCACGTTACCCTTGCTATGAAAATTAAAATCAATACTACCAAATTAGGTTCAACGTGGATACCAATTGTTTTCGTATACATAAAGCGAGTTTGAATTTACGGATAGCCAGAGCTTCATTAAATTTAAAAACTCGACTCTGACCACGTTTATGTAGTACTTTAAAAACAGTTTTCATGTCTAGTATATGTTTAGCAATAACCGAAGATGGATGTTTGTCACCTGCACTTATCAGATCTGTTGAGATCATTTGTTACTGAAGCTACTTATATACATGTTTAACCATCCTTAGCAGATCCGATAAGTGCAGATAACAAACGTCCATCTTCATCTATTGCTAAACATATACTAGAAACTAACAAAGAGTAGACATGAAAACTGCTTTTAAAGTACTACATAAAAGGGTCAGGGCCAAGCGCTTAAATTTATTGAAGCTCTTGTCATCGGCGAATTCAAACTCTCTTCATGTATACAAAAGCAATTTGTACTCATGTTGAACTTAATTTGGTAGTATTGATTTTAATTTTCAAACCGAGTAAAGTCATTTTTTTCTCTCCCCTTCCTGTTTATATGTTTCCTATTAACTGCATTGACCCTTTTCGTTAATTTTCAGATAAATAGTTCGACAAGTTCATGTGTGATCAGATTGTATCTCTAATACATCACGTTTCAGAAATTCTTTATCTTCTGCTGTTTAAATTTATCAAAGGGACCAGCTGCTTTAAATGTTGATTAAGACTCATTTTAGATCATGAGAGAGACAACATGGTTATCAAAATATTTCCTATTCTTATTTCTGCACCCCACGATCAGTTTTGCATAAAATTCAATATATCGCACTTGTTGGCAAGCATGCATTTCACTTTCAACTAATACTACATCGATATCGTTGTGATAAAGAACAAATGAAAGATTTCAAAGCTAACTTGGGATTTCATTTTATGGATGATTTAGTGAAACGGAGACTGAATCTCTGCCTATAGGTATCGATTTACAGGTTGCCAATAAAAAATGAAAAATATACTATTTTCTAAAGCTGCTGTTTGCTCAGCAAAAAGAAAAGTCTGATTTTTGATAATAAAAATCAGAAGAAATTGCGCAAAAGATACAATCAACGATGTGTCGTACACACTTATAAATACTGAAACAAAACTGATATTCATTTAGATTTATTTTTGTAAAAGCTTGGGATCCAAATAGAATACAAAGCAAGTATGAATGCTGATTTTAAAGATGATACGGCCTCTGACGTTGGGAAGAATCGTCTCTCCAAATCAATGAGAAGGACATTTTTCTCTGGTAATATGCAACTGAGCTGCTTTAATTCATGAGTGATTTCATTTTGGGTTAAGAACGAATTGCGGGCTTGAACCACTTTAGCTTGTACCTACACGTTTCCTTGCTCCCAAAGAGCTAGTTGTGTAGGCCATATTAAGCAAGTAGTTTCAAAAACCATCTCCGAATATTATCCCCATGGTTACTGATTGGAAAGGGAGTCCTCTTTAAATATTATCTACAGAGTTATATGAGGTCGCTAAAAATTTTTTTTATTTGAACCTTGTGGACAAACAAACGTACTAATAGTGCATTAGATCAGACCTGATTTCCACGTACAGAAGAAGTATTTTCAGTTTATTATCTTGTCATGGCCTTAGCCCTCGTTGTTTAATTTCCTTTGTTCAGTTTTATTATAAATAATCGCTTTACTGTTATCACCAACAGAAGTCTAGTTCCTTTTCTTATTTCCTTGACATTTATCATATACCAATCAGCGATCACTTTTCGCGTCTGCCTACCAATATCCCCTTACCAAGCTCTTTGCATCTCACTCTACTGGTACTGTTTAATTTGAATCGTGCAAACAGCTCTGATGATGCACGCGTACCATTCAATAAGTGACTGCTGTATTCTTGTGATATATATATATATATATATATATATATATATATATATATATATCACCTGCATCTGGGCCACGAACATTGCTGATCGGTATGAGGTGCCTACAGTTGCTCATTTCAGTGAAAAGTACATTTCTTAAAGCCTCTAATTATTTTCACGGAGAATTTTTTGTTCGGCTACTTTTTCCCCAGTGAGTTAAGCTTTTGTAATACTAACGACTTTAAAAGTCCTATTGATGGGTTTATAAAATAAAAAAATCAAGCATTCTCCCTATGTAAGCAGACGTTTCCTCCTGCACACATAGTCCCAAATTTATAAATGAAAGACTTATGCAATCTAATTTTAATCTGTTTTTTACATGTGTTATGCAGGGAAACAGTATTATTTACTGGGTAACGTTTCGGACAGAAGTTACCGTCCATATGCATGTGACCACGTTTTACTCATAAATTAACCTATACAATCTTCCTGGTGAAGACAGGGCTGTAGGTTTGAAATAAATTATAATACTGAATAACGTTAAATGATGAACTAAATTCTACAGTTGAGAATGGTGGATCAAGGTGGAAACACAAGCACAAGAATTACAGAGGGATCGACGGCAAGATCACCTGATTAACATTTTTCCAGCTTAACTGGGATTTTTAATGGTTAACCCATCTGAAAGTATACATTTTTCATTTAATATTTTTACCGGGTTCATTCTGTGATGAAAACTACTTCAAAAACCTGATGTCGATAAGAGCTTTGTAAGCAAATACTTCAGTAATCTTAAATTAAATTTAAGGTGGCGCAATATTAATAAGTAAAGAATTTATTGAACGAAGCATTAGTCCAAATGCAGCAGTAAAGTGAAATGGTGGTATTCCGTCTCCATTTTTTCAGTAATAAATTCTTTAGGGAGTTTGTTAGTATCGCTCTGGAATCACCCCTCTGTTCAACATTAGATATGTAACAGAATGAACAGAACAATGATAATGCTCAGTTTTGTTGGTGAAAATGAAACTACGTCACTTTCTACCTCATTAGAAGTGCATATCACTGAGCTTTGCAGGTTATCCGGTCACCAGACTTTGATAAGCATTTCGAAATGTACCCTTTTATGATTTTGTGACTGATTTTTTTATATATGGATATGATTAAAATAACTGATTTAACTTATTGCGTAATGTCACCAGCGTCATCTGTTAATAAAGACAGTCTTTTAGAATCCTCCTTTTTGTTAATCTAATAAATGAGTCAGCTTCACAATCATTTCAACTGCCAGATACGATGAAAATGCAATAAACTTACATAGTGTTATGTATTACACCTTGGATATATATTCTTAGCTGTACTAAATATTACCATATATGCTTTAGACTATGAATAGTTATGGAAAATCTTTTCACCTAAGTTTTTATGAATGATAATTTAATCATATTTAATACCATAATCTCCCTAAAGATAAAAAATGTGTAGCTTCGAAAAAAAACAATGAAGTAGTGGCCATTTTATTAGATATGTATTAATTTCATATTTACGCTGAGAAATACTGAACTGTTAGTTTCAACAAACTTGCTAGCAGAACGATTTGTGTAACGATAAGTTACGGAAGTAAAAAGTTGCTTTCTGTACAAAATAAGGAATTCAAATGATTACTGATGCCTTGTTTTGGTCTTCTTACAAGTTGAAAACGAAGATTTGTTCCAGTTAGTTTAGTCTATTGGATGTAGCACACTGTGACACATCTAACTAATTAGATATCTTACCGAACACAATTTGTTTCTCATAATCAAATCAAATTGATATAATTATACCCAATAAATTGCAGTCAAAACATTATCCACTACTACCAACCATTAAAGAATAAGGGAACTGTAAGACTAGGAAAAATAGAAGTTTAAAAGTTGTGTGCTCACTTTACAATGATAATGTGCAGCCAGTTTTGTTCTTATTGTAATCAAGTAAACAAAACCATGTTGTTATATGCCGAATCAAGTAGACTAATCTAGTATGGAAGAAAACTCTACCAAAGTGTCCGGTGTCTACACATACGTAACCGATCTATTTACGACAACTTTAAGTGAGTGGTATGATTTATAACCTGATACATTTTTGCTTCATACGAATGAGTCTGTTTGTATTTTTATCTCTTAAATTTCATAACAATTAATTCCATCATAAATCCTGTGAAAATTCCAAATTATAAATAAATCAGGTCCAGGGGTATTCATTTCTAAACGTGAAGTAATTTTCAATTTGTATTGGAGAAGAATATTTGCAAGACGTGTTCAAAAGTTATACCCATTTTACAGATACAAAACTGAAGTGACCATTGAATTTTTTATGGGAAGCATAAGGTGTGCTATGCAAAGCCTAAAAGTTTCGGGTTGGATATTGTCTGCTGTTAACTAAGTTCACTGTTGTAAACACATATTTTTGAAGTGTCTCAACTGTTAGATGTTTGGGACCAATCTGTAGGAAGTCCTGAACCTAAGCTTCGTGCTTGTTACGACTCATCAGAAAGGCATCTCTACAACTTTGAGGAAAATGTTCTTACAGTAAATAGAATATATATCTCTCGTTCTTGCAGTCAGATACCAGATCGACAATCTATTCAAGCTATGACTGACACTTTGTAGAACTAGACTGTACACACGAGTATGTCACTAGGTGGCAACCCACGTAGCTGTTCAGACTCTTACTTCAGCGCTAAGAAACGAAAATTAGAGCCACCAGAGAAATACCAGTTTAATCATGGCCATAGATACACTTTACGGATGAGTTCCATCAAACATGAAATCTAGGTCCAGAGCTTCCGTCAGCTGATTCTTACCATTTTACAACAAAGTACAATACACCGCAAAGTTGCATCACTTCGCTTAGTGTTCATATCACAAAACTTAATCGGCAGGCTTCGAATAGTGCTGAGCACTACGGATATAGACAGTCACATGGATCATTCGGTAGTGACTGATTCGTGTCAGTGACTCTTTTTCCTGGTGATTGAATTTTAAACTGAGTTGGTCGTCCAGTTGAACATCTTCCATACATTATCTCAAAATCGTGCCTCGTATTTACATCTGTAGTTCACTTATTATATCAGAAATCTGGAATGTAGTTATATGTAGAATGCTCAGAAACACTGATGGCAACAGTGAGACAGCGTAATTCAACAACGTCATCGGAATGACGGCCCCTTACACAAATACCTATGATCTAAGCGTTTAGCATCGAACAAAATAGGCTATTTCAATCTACCAATTCTTGAATGAAGTAAAACTCAACGATCTTCAAGTTGCATTTATATCCAAAAATGAGTTCAAATTTTACTCAATGCGCATCCATAAAAATATACGAGACATTTTGGAGAAACAGACAAAGGAAAAAATATCTTAGGTGTCATCTTCAATACAAGAGCGGATTATGATATCCAAGAAACAGAAAATCAATTACTCCCTGACAGACAGTGATAGTCTTTAACTAAGTTTTTCTTGATAAAAAGCGATTAATAAGAGAACAAAATATTGATTACCAAATGTTTAATTCTGTAATCTTTCCTCTATCTCTAACTCGTCCTTATGAATGACATAATGATACATAATTCCTCTATTGTGATATATATATATATATATATACTCACCAAGATGCATCTTGCATGTTCCGGTGGGTTTCACATACTGGAACAGAAGTAGACACAAACATACATAAAACACAGCTGGAGTCGACATCCTGCTGCCATAATTTCTAACGATATTGCGTGACTACCGAATCGGTATTATGAGAAAATGTTTCTGCTTACAATATGCATCAGTATTATGAAGAAAATGATTTATTCTTTTGACTAGAAAATGTCTTTTTTCAGTCTAGAAAATCGATACAACATCCATTTATCACCTGCATACTGAGTGGTGAAAAAAGCCTTGATGCAGACAGATAAGTATGAAATGATAAAGAAAGTTGAAAATTGTATGGCAGCGAAGATAAAACAAGATACGTTTACGACGTGCTAGAATATTACCAACAATTATTAAAACATGCTGTATTTCAATCTTATTTACTTTAATCTCTTCACGAATCTTCACTGCCAAGTCTTTCCTGAGGCAAAACATTTTTGTCTTAACAACTGTTTTGTTCTATAGTTATTTCTTCATCCATATGAGTATACGCAAAAGAAACAAGTATTCCTGCTATTTCGTCATCATCTTTTTAAAGTATATATTATGTTTAAAACATATGGTTATTACTAAGTAAGGATAACATATATTTACAATATCTTGCATTCTCTAACTGATGTTAAGTGGTCACAACAGTTAAATAAAAGTTGTCATATTCCAAGAATTGAGAGAAAACTATTGCTTAAAAAACGGTACTAGTCTTCATTAACATTTTCAGCTGTATCTGTCCTTTTAAGTTGTAAAAAATGTCAGATAACAAACAAAAGGCAGAGCTTCTTTATTTAGTCTCTGGAGAAACACCGTTTTCCTGTTGTCTGGTACTAAGTGATAACCGAGTCCTATGGATCATTTTACAATCTGACCACTAAGCTAAAAGACCAATTATTGTAGTACATTTTGGCTGATGCTAGGTGGTTGGAGACAATTAGGAGGAAGCCCTTAACCAATGTTTCGGACTTGTTAGCACTCGCCAGCAAGGCGTATCTGCGATTCCACGGAAACTGGTATACTCTGAGATATTCAAATCCACGTCACTAAGCGCAGAAGTCAGAGATGTTAACCTCGAGGCAATCTGGTCGGACAAACCTATGGCTGAGAAAATTTCAACCTTTGCCCTCAGTCCTTGTGTAAATGCAGAGCTAGTTTCATAAATTCACCGACGAAAACTAAAAAGGCAAAACGTAGATAAGTACATCCTATAAGCCCCTCGTCGATTTACCTCAGACCACTTATGACATACTGGTGGCAAGAAATTAGCTTTTTATCTTACTAAGCGTTTTACATTGGTGCATTTGATTTCAAAAATCAGGCGGAAATGAAGTAGACCTAAGGAAAGAATGCTAAGGTGATTCATTTGGCTTAGGAGTTTTGTTTCAATCCGTTATAAATATCACTTTTGTTGATGTTTCTATTCACTAATGGTATTCCTAATAATACGCCGCACCAGACATACTTTTGACATCTAATAAAAAGTTAAAATAATAGTCAGTCTTGTCACTGTACAAATTAGGCTGATTTCACCGGGGTGTTTTTACTGGTAGTACCAGCAAAATAACTCAGTGATGTTTATTAGTTTATATGTCGCAACGACGCTTGACTAGTTCAACAGGTAAAGTCTCCTAGATCTCAGAATTATCTACAGCCTTCTATTCTTTTGAGTTATTGGATAACTAGTTTTTTTCATTAAATACAGACAGCTGCGCGATGTTTTTTCACTCCATTGGATACTTCATATTTTTACAGACATTTTAATCACTCACCTAGTACCAGTTTAATCACCAAAAGATATCTCTTTTGCTTTAAGTGAAATTAATAAACTGATATGCAGTTTGATAACATTCTCTGTTCTTTTGTCTATATGTTGTACTCAAAAAGCACATGAAATATCGATAATGAATACATACTCCCCCGTAAACAAGAGATTTCTGTGTATCTCAATATTCAGGCACGAATAACTGACGTTTAAGCTACGTTCAAAGAATTGGTTAAGAAATGTAAATATGTTAATGATAAATAATTTAGATATTCACCTCACTATAACAAAATTGCTATTATGTGTACTTATGTTTGATAGAGAATAACTCACTTGCATTCGTAAGATGTCAGTGTATGCTTGATCACAGAATAATATTCATTGGAACTGGATGATAATCGGCTTGATTGATTTTGCAGTGCTAGCACAACTTCTCTGATTGTCTCATTTCTATGAACTGCACACTGTTCAGCTAACTTTTCTTGTTGTTTTAAGCATTTGTATTGATGTTCTCGTAGGACTGAAACCAGACGAAATATAATATCAAGGTTTGGAAAGTCCGCCTCGCCAATATGTTAGATAAAAGTTAACAATAATGACTCGAAAAACTTACAACTTTATTATTGTATTATTGGATTTAAATAGTCAGCAAATGGAGTACTTGGTGGAGTGTTACGGAAACAAACCCTTCTTGTTGTCAGTTCAAAAATGTAAGCTGTGTATTTTGTATAGATCAAAAGACCATTCAAGTGGAATATGACATACTGGAAGCCTAAACTTCAACTTGATTTGTTAAAAGTCACATATGAAAGAAGAATATTCTTCTAAATAAGTTTTCTTTGAGTTCTACAGTTGTCCCCTAGAAGACCCATTCAATGCAAGTTTGGCTGTTTCTTTGTTAATAAATTTTATTTAATAACCGAATGATGACTTTTAGCTGCTTTTATGGTATTCATAGATATAGACTAGTGAAGTACAACTGTAACGTTTTCTCCGAATTGTCTCAGACTCTATATCGGTCAACATGATGACTTCATTTACCCAAATGCCACACTCTACCTGATTGAGTAGCTTATTTTGAGTCAACGTTCCAGTGTTCTGAATTCTAACAGTCAAAGTAACTTTGGTATTTTCCGCTCTAAAATAATAAAGGGTGAGATATATTTCTTCTGAATACATTGAGGTGTTTTTCAACCGCCTATGAACGTGAATGGAAGATCAACCTGTCTCAATTGCTTAACTTTACTGATTTTAATGTTCCTCTAGTGTGAATGTCTTTTCTAACCCAAGTCAATCGAAATGTAACGGGGTTATCACAAACAGACGCACTACAACTTCATAAGGAGATTTATTAAAACGAACATGAAGTATGTACAAATATCTATAACAGAATGGTGATAGTTACTCATAGTAAGTAACTGAAAATCGATTTCTTATTAAAGTTTCAGTAGTTAAGATTGGATAATGGAAGAAATAGCAAAGAATTATGCTATATAAACTAAGGTAATAAAATAGCTGTTAATTCTTCCAAATTTTGAGCTGACTAGCCTCAACTTCTGACTATATGTATACTCCAATCTCTTTCAAATTCTATATTTATATCACCGTGTGGTTTCAAAGTTCCCGAGTAATCCTCTATTTTAACGGATGTTAACAGAATGCAAAGTAGACGGTCCATAGAAGTACTATTCAGTTTAATTCAGTGTCGACAAAAATAAATTGTGATAAATCAACTTAATGGCACTACGGATTGAGAGAGTTTGTTTTCTTACTGGTAATGCTCGAGAGCTACAAGCTAGAAGTGTAAGCAAAGAACCATATTGACAGTCCTTCGTGACAATTATTCTGTCACCTGTGTTCATGAAGCATAAATACTTTATTATTTAACCATGGGAGAAACTTCATTCTAACAATTCAGTATTCTTGAAATGGATTGAAAAACTATTATTTCTAGTACATATTAGATAAAAAATATACTATCTCTTATTTTGACGTATACCCTGTCATTAACTGTGAAATGTTATAACAAAAAGACTGGAGACTACATTCAAATAGGTAATAAAAATTTTAGTCTCAATTAACACTTTCTACAACAAAGAGTGAATGAAAACAACACCTATTGTGTAGCGTGCAAATAGCATTCGCACATGAACTATGCTTGCTTACTTGAGCAAAATGATCATTATAAGAACCATACCAGTGGGCGAATAAAAATATCACAGTCAAGAGAATGAAACATGACATTGAAAATGTAGTATTACTATTTACGCCTTTACTGTCTATTAGTTTGTTATTCGTCTGAAGTTAAAAGCAACTGATTTGGAGATTATTTCGTGTCTTTCAGTGTTGTTCAGCTTTTGCACAAAACACTAAAGACATGATATAGATTTTGCTAATCTCTTACAAGATTTCATAAATGCAGTATACTATTACATGATCAGTAGGGCTTTCTTTCAAGTACATTCGCTTGATTAAGACAGGCGTATATAAACTAATATGTTTTCTATAGAAGAAGTATTCATCATGAACTGACATCAGTTAGGGAACCATTGGAAATCTGGGAGCGTTGGACAGCTGTTTCGTCCTGGTATGGGACTCCTCAGCAGTACGCGCCCACGACCCAGCCGGGGACAGAACTCAGGTTCCACGGCGAACGCGTTAACCACTCAGCCACTGGGTCGGTTCCCAGTGGTTCACAATTTCCAACTTCTGTCCATTCACGACATAGAGCGACTGTCACCCAAGATCTTCAGTAAGCATCCACTTCACTTCCGACTGGTTGACCCCACAGATCACGGCTTCTCGTTAGAGCTTCCTGATATCTATTTGGAAGCAGGTCACTAATAAGCACTGACTTCTCAGCAGTCTTATACTAGGACGAAACAGCTGTCCACTGCTCCCAGATTTTCAATGGTTCCCCAACTGATGTCAGTCCATGATGAATACTACTTCTAGGTTAAAATCTCCATTCATCTCAAAAATGTAATATGTTTCCTGTCATTTTTATAATTTAGTCATAGTTGTTCACTAAAATTGTTCCGTTTGTGTATTTGTTTCTGCTAGCTCTTATATATTACCTGCTAAATGATGATAATAAAATGTTGAAGGTTAGAGTTTTTCTTAAGCTTAAAGGTTCAAACCCAGTATATACTTACAATTCATGCACTTGTATTCGTGAGAATTACAATTACTTGCATAGTAAATGTCTCTCATAATACAAAATTTGTTATAAATTCGAAATACATTTGTCATTAGGAGGAAAGTGTTAAGCCAAAAAGCAAAAACATATATCAAATAATTGTAGATCCTTACGAACTCACCCGGTCAACTGTCAAGTAACTTTAAGGATAAGGCTTGATAATCCCGAATAATATTGCATACAGAAAAAAAATCTTTTTGGTTCTACTGTTAAGGCGTGGTAAGAGTCACCAGTTCTTACAGAAAGAAACTCACTTCTGTGAGGTTTCATCTACAGCATTCTCTTTAGGTGACTAGTTAACACTTTAAAAATGGAATCTGATACATGAGAGTGGATGTAAATGGTTTTCAGTAGTCTAGTAGTAAATCACATCCACCTTCTTCATCAGAAGCGATTAGTAGGAAGAGGTTATATCCTTTAGCCGTTCACACCTTGAATAATAATCACTTGGATACTCATCCGTGTGGGACAGCTCACCTTAGGGCACCCCATGTAAAATTATCCCAAAGCCTCAGTCGAATCATATTCGAGTGAAGTATTCTAATAGATAACATTCACAGGTGTTACTCCTGCATCTGCTCTGATCTAATAATTCACTTAGTAGAAGGAACGTGGATATTTATTTCACTTCAGATATGATGGTGTAGCATGGTTTTGAACCAGTGATTCACAGACTGAGTTAAAGTGTGAACTTGCACTCCGATTGTCCTAGTTTGATGTAAGAATGATGCTTCTGAATTCAGTTGAATCTTTTGGATGATAAATAATGCTTAAGGCTTCAGTATTCACCAAGAAACTAGACATAAAATCAACTATTTTTCGTTTTAAGACAGTAGCTGGCTACATTAGCAGTCAACAATCAGTTGTTCTTTTCGGTTACCTATGCTTAGGTGTTCATTGGTATTATTGAAATCGACTCTGACTTCTCAAGAACCAGTGAAAATTTTGAAACTGAAGTTAAGAAATATATATTAGTCTTGGTGGCCAGCAGAAGAATCAAGAACGAGAGTCTCGTCCTGTTTAGGACTTATCAGCTGAATGTGACCACATTTGAGTGTGTGATGTTGTTCCCACTGACACTAGAACCCAGTACTCATCGCTTCGAATGCCGGAGGGTTATCCACATGCCAAGAGGGCACGATAGCCAGCACTTGTGCAACAGGTATCAATACTTGTTATGATTCTTGTAATTTCCCGTCACTATACAGGGTGGAACCGCTGAACCTCTTTGAAGCGGTGGGTACGAGGTCCGAGTCTCAGTGGGTAAAGTGTCACCAACTGAGGCGCCGGTACATCCAGCTGATGAGTCTCAAATAGAAACTGACTCGCGTCCTGGTTTCTCTGCTAGTCACTAAGATCAATATAACATCATGAATATTCGACAGTATCGAGGTATCCGTATAGAAGCTCATTTGTTAACAGAGCTTGAGCAGTCCTGCGCTGTATAGCAACGGGAAATTACAAGCATCATAACAAAGAAGTCAAGAAATATTCGAAAGACAGTAGTGGAATAAGCTTGTAAAAAGTATATAAAATATCCAGATTTAAAAGCACAACTGACTGAACCGAAAAAATAGTTTGGTGAGCAAAAGATCTCGGAGTAAATCACTTTTGATATTACCTTTCAGTTATACTTCTTTGGGAATAAATACCTGAGTAAAGTAAGCATAAGTTTTGCTTATAAGACTACTACAGATGAATCATTGGCCATCTTACTTATCTTCTGAAATCAACTAAATACATTTAATAGTCTATAGTGGAATGAAAAGTGACCCTATTCTCAGAGACAAAAGACACTTCTACAACACACTGGCAAGAGAAGCAGAAAGGCTGCTGCTAGGAGAGACCAGACGACATTGTATCAAATAACCAGGTTACTATCTGAGAGAGATCAACACAGATGAAATCAATAAAGGATGATGAAGGAAATCCAATTACCAACGAAGAAAAACAATGGAAACGATGGGCTGATTACTTCAAAAGGCTCTTGAATCGACCACCATCACCACCTGCACTTCGTCCAGAAATACCACCTGCAGCCGCTGAACTACAAGTGAACATAAACATCTCAACAAAAGTGGAAGTCCTGAACGCCATAAAGCTACTGAAAAGTGGGAAAGCAGAAGGACTAGATGGAATCCCACCAGAAGCACAGAGAACAGACTCAGGGACAATAGCGGACATGCTAACACTACTATTGCAGAAGGTGTGGAAGGAAGAGAAGGTACCTGCCCATTGATTGGAAGAAAGGTGACCCAAGCCTTTGCAAGAACTGGTACGGAATCATGCTCCTGTCCACTCGGAGCAAGCAAAGTATTAGGCTGCATCATCTTGGAGTGACTAAAGGATGCACTGGATTCAAAACTACTATCCGAACAAGCAGGCTGGCTCGATTCAAGAAGTACAAATCATGCGCGGACCAAATTGCAACGCTAAGCATAACCATAGAACAGAGCATAGAATGGCAGTTAAATCTCTACCTCACCTCAGCTTTATTGACTTTGAGAAGGCCTTTGACAGCGTCGACCGAGAAGTAATTTGGCAGGCGGCTACTTCAACACTACGGAATATCACAAATCCTTATGAAGCTCATTCAACAACTATATGAAGACGTCACATGCCAGCCAAGTAATTCACAATGGGAAGCTCAATGATGCTTTGGGAGTGGTACACACTTGAAGATCTACAGGCAAAAACTAACAAGTTGGGCGTCCAACGTGAGGATGACATGGAGGAGATCGTGCAAGGAAGAAATGAGAGCCTGTGAGCATTCGTGGAGCCAGGTTCAAAAGTTTGCAGAGAACAGAGTGCACTGAAGCCCTACGTTCCATTAGGAACCCAAGGGACAAATAATAATAATAAAACTTCAGGAGTCAATTTATTCATCAAAAGTAAAGCGCGGAATATATCAGATAAGCTGCTACTCTTAAACACATGCTTATTTAAGCCGTTTTGAACGTGATAAACTGCATAAGTAGTAGAAATATGAAACCTACTTCTTAGATTATGTTCATGACAAATGTATGCTGCAGCTTTTTCAAATTTTCTTGTATCCAAAGAGATTGACCAAATAATTTGTCGAAATTTTTCCTCATCTGAGTGGTTGCATGACTCTTCAGCTCGTTTTCGCATGCAGTGGAATACTAAAATGTGCCACCGCGTACTAAGACAAAAAAAGACAAAGGGATTAATAAGCGAGTACGGAAAATTAAAGTGAAAATGCAACCAAAATTAGAAAATGAGTAGTTTTAACATGAACATTATCGTTATCGTCAGAAACCCTTTCACCCATGTTTTTACAATAGTTTATTTGTATATCTTACGTTTACAAAAAACCGAGACCTCTTATATTATATAAGATCTCACCACCAAACCTCATTTACGTGTTGAAGTTCATTCAAGGGAATTTGAAGGAAATGTAAAATACGCACTATTAATAGTTAAAATACATATTGTTCATCACTAAACTTAACTCTGTTCTTTAACAAACACATGGAAGGCTAAAGACTCTGTAGAACAAGAAGTTCCAGTGGCATCATCACTGTCCGATAGAAAGACAATACTGTAATATACTGTAACATTGCATGTATTTTATTTGTGCATTTACAATTTCTTCGTAAATTTCTTCTCAAATCATTACTACTGTATAATATTCATTGCCACATCCTTTATAAAGTCTACGCTAACGGTCTCCGAAGTGTTTTCATAATGATCTTAATAGCCACACATGTTTGAAATAGGTTACAACTCGTCATTGGTGCAAGAACACCAGTGTTTGTGGAGCAGTTACCAGAAGTTATGTTGTCAAATAAAGCAGTGAACATCCTCAAATGGAATTCACGTTAGGTGTTATCTGCGAAATGTGTCAAGCAAAAATTATGTCTGAACTTTGAATTAAAACAACTGCCATTAGTCTCTTTGGAATCGATGTTCAGAATATCGATATACTCAGCAAGACGAAGCTGGTGATAATTCATGATCTGAATAATTCCCCCTCTATTCAGAAAATAAATAATATGTAAACCTGTTAAAGAATTTCAAACGAATATTAACTGAGTCACTTAATCACAAAAAAGTACTTTATTAGGGTATGAATTACTTAGCTAAGAGCTCAAAGTTCTTTAGATGGACGAAAGACTTTTTACCACGCTATTTTTTAAAGGCATACATTCACATATATGGGCAATTTTGTCAAAATAAAACATGACCAACTTTATTGCGCTTCAAATACTGGACCAGTACTGGGAGATGAAAGTCTTCTACAGGATTCATTTAAGTATCACACAAAATCACCAGTCTGTCTTTTCTACACGTAACAACTGGGCCTTTTGATAGTTATACATGCTATGTCAGTGTGTAAAAGTGACTCAAAATGATTTAGACTCAACCGCCTAGAAAAGCTTCTACATAACCTATTATGCGGGTAAGATTCTGAAAATATTTCCTTTTGTATGCAATTATTATTATGGTGTATCTCTTAGGTTCCTAATGGAACATAGAGCTTCAGTAACACGTCTCCAGTACACTATGTTCCCTGCAGTCTCCTTAACCTGGCTCCACAACTCCCCAGAAGCTTTGATTTCTTCTTCACACGATCTTCACTATATCGCTCTTGCCTTGGACGCTCAACTCTTCGTTTCCACTTTGGATCCCACTCGAGGGCCTGGTCTGACGCGTGATGTCCCCAAACGGTCTTCTCAGTATATGCCCAATCCGTCTCCACTTACTTCTTCTGTATATTTGTTGGGCAGTGGGTTGTTGGTTGGTTCGTTGCCAGCCAGCCACAGTGAGTTTCTTTTTGCTTATTCTCACTGCTCTGGCCACCTGATCTTCAGTGTCATTATCTAGCGTATGCGGTAGCTATTGATGAATGTCTGTAGTTTGTTGGAAATGCCTTTCATGACACTCTAAGTTTCTGAACCGTCACACAGGAACACTGAATTGACTGGCATTATTATTGAAAATCCGAATCTTGTTCAAGCTTTATGCTGAGTGCAGTGTAGTGAAGTAGATCGCCGCACTGAATTCAGATTAATGAAGGATTGTCTTTTTGTCCTTACGATAATGGCTGCTTTGACATCCTCATTTCTACCACCGTTGGCTGTAGTTGAAACGATGCTGCCTTACCTATGTACGTGGAAGAGACTGTTTTCCTTACATTTCTCCGGTTGATGGTGATTGATGCTTGTTGTTGTATACAATATTTCAGTAAAATTCAATAGGGATTTCATGAAGTAATGAATGACGTTCGCCAAGTAACGGTATACAAATAACACACCAGAATATCACAAATTTTTATAAAATGTGGAAGAGGAATAAAACTTTGATTAATTTTTGACACATAAAACATTTAGCTGTTCAGGAATAATTCTTAAATTTCAATTAAACGGATAAGTATTAGTGCTTTTTAGGGATAAAACTGATTTCATTTCACCATAATGACGGGAAGAGCGAATTCCAACACGGATCACCTCGATTAGCTGCGACATCTTGAATAAATAAGACAAAGGTTTCCCGAATTTTTAATGAGTGACCATGACCTGTAGGCTTAGTCAAGTTGAACGTGAGGAGGAACACATATGAAGGGTATTGTTTGATAGTCATGATAGTTTGCGAATCAAATGAAGCAGAAAAATGTGAACTCGATAACTGAATTGTCATCTGCTCGCCATGAGACTCGATAATCCTAAACGTGATTGGTCTTGAGATTGTGGGTGAGCTTTGTTGAGAAGTCAAGTACTAGAATGAATGAATTATCTAGGATTTCTGAATTTTCGGCTTGAAATCAATCTTTAAAATCCACCAAATGAATAAACAGCTGTAATGTTGGAAAATTAGCTCTTATGAATATGCCAAAGCAGTTTGGTAGGCAGATGATAAAATAATTAGAAGTTACAACATTCAGATGATGATTTGCTACATACTTTAATAAACCTGCCAATTATTTCATATAGGCCTTTTTCAAGATTATCGGCTATTTGGAAAAACTAATCTGAGATAATGGTATTCCGCTTCTCGCTCTGTGACTTTATTACAGCCAACTTCATCATAAGAAAGTTACCTATGGCCTTTATCACAGTGTATCAAATGAAGATGGAAATTAAATGATAGAAGACGTGTAATGTTTAAACAGGTTCAATAATAGGAAAGTGAAAATCTCTTTTAGCTAAACGCTATCTCCAATTTACCATGCATCTAATCCAAGAAAGTACGCAGTAAATATATTTAGGATTGAATCAATGTGTTGGTGCTTTTTTTCAACCACGACTGATTATTGTACCTAATTAGGTTCTGAAAGGGACAAGTTGAAGGCTGAATAATGAGAATGGCAATATATATAACTTTAGCACTACATATGTTTTCATACTTATAATGATGCATCAGTCTTTTAAAAGTGGCGCGTATGTTATGCTGACTAGTGAACGATCTCAACTTGTGACGTGCTGTAAGTTGCTGAAGACCACTTGTGTTTCAACAGTTCGCTTCATTGCACGTTCTTCTTTTCAGTGGTGCTTAAACTGACATCTAAAATAGCTTTATAATGGATGTCCTGTTGAAATAAACCTCTTGATGAAGAAACTGTTTGTATACGTATCAAAAATACATTGAAAAGCTAAAATGTAAACCACTTACCTTCCTTCAAATCAGCGATCAAGCTTAATACAAGAAAATTTACCACTGGAAAGAATATAAAGCAAGCGCTGTTCACTTTACTATCATTTTGCAAGTTGTAGTAAAAGGGTTGACCTCAATAAAAGTGTATTAAAAGCATCAATTAAACAGCTTAATTAGACACCCGAACGTCCTTCTTTTGACTTAGTTGTCTAGGTGGTCGACTTCCAATCAATGGGTAATAGGTTCCGACTCCATCCGAAGTGGTGGGTTCGGGAAGTACTTTTAACTATAAGAAAATTAGCGTGACCCAAAGTCTACAGCATGAACATGCATAGGTGTGTTCATGTGGTTGCTTCCTCCAGTTTCCTTTTGAAAATTCATCAAGTGACCGTTATCAAAGAAATTTTCTTTTTAAATTGTTTTCATTGGGATAAATTAAAGCAATTAAAACTTTAATCTGCAGCTAAAGTAATACTCAATAAATCCTAAGAGCGTATTCTGACTGTTTCACTTCATGGAAAATTGAAAATACATCACTGTCAGTGAACGGAATGGTGTAGCACATTGATAACTGGTTTTAAAATCTAACTTGCTCATCATATGCTTATTTTTTTTGGCACAATAAACTGTTAATTTACACTGAACATATTCAGTGCAAAATAATTAAACTTCAATGGCTTACAAATCACCCATAGTGAACTAGGCGTTAGTAGAAACATATCAAATGGCCAACGCTCAGAATAGTCTAAATCCTGTGAGCGTTGCCAAACATAATTCCTAAAGTAACTTTCAAAACTAACAAGGAATTTCGTCGTTGAAATATGTTGGGAGCTTGTCTACGCTTCTTATGAAAAAGTAGTATTTCAGCTCACTAAATGCATAGCCTTCAGTGAATTGGAAAAAGCAAGTAAGTAAACTAATATCATACTTTTAAATCGTTTATAATGCACAATTAAACTGTGGATATTTAAAGTGGATGGAAACAATCGGCAGAAACTCCTATTTTTAGGTTTCGCGATTTCTGACATTCGTTAGAAAGGGGGTATCTGTAACCTCAACGGAATTGATGCTACACATAGGATTTACACCCTCACCACTCGGTACTGCAGTTCTGGAAATTACTACTCAGCTATTCGAGCCCCAGTTTACCTCCGGTAGGACTGCATTAGATACATTAGCTTTTCACTGGGTCTTGGTAAACAGATCATCATCACCATCCACTCTTGCCAACCTACTGACCTTCTGTGTCTTTAAATTAGTCGATGACACTGTTTATATTCCACTTTTCTTAACCACTGTTCACCACAATGGTTAGTCACGTCTTCTAGAATTAAATTACAAGACAACATAGATGCCCAGCATTTAAATGTTGAACCTTCTAGGTTGGTGACTATACAGCAGAATGATCGACAAAATCTGATTGGTACTTGCAAACAGACTACACGAAGTTTGTTGCCCTGCGGTGACCAATAAGTTTTAACTCTGGGTGTTTTCGGTGTTTCTTTTGCTGTTTTCTATAGGTGGGAAAAAGAATTACTTACTTCATTATTCGTACTGTGAGGAAAAAGAATCAAACCTTTCAAAATTAATACTTTTCGAACAGGGTTTATATTACACATAATAGCTACTCCTGTGGATTTTCTTGTTATTCGTTACTCGTTTTACACATTTTAAGTAGATGTCATCAAAGATCCTGTCTGAAGAAATTCTGTCAGTAAAATTTCATAATCTTGCTAGTCCATACCTGGAAGGTGAGACGTATAAGAATACATGGTAAACCGTTCTGCCTTTTTTATTATGGCAGTTACTGACACGTTCACTACATGAAGCAAAGCAACAATTGAGGGCTTCTACGTGTCTGAGGAGTATCGAACTTAGGAACTAATTAATGTATGAACACATAAGAGTATTTGTATTTACACAGTGTGTTCATTTGTGGAAGATTTACGAGGACTGCTATCAAGTTGTCCATTTGCAAAGTTCTAAAAATAATTTGGAACTTTATTCAGTAGTAAACATAAAAGACTGATGAACATTCCAGTTCATCCGATATCATAAAAGCTATGAACAGAATCTTCTGTCTGTAGTGGGAAAAGCAACTGGACATTTAGATCTCCCCATAGAGATAGTATGTGAATAATATGCTGTTATTCTAGATTTTCTGACAGACGGGATAAAATGGACTCACAAAAAAGATGACAAAAGTTATTCTAATTAATTGCCATTGTACTAACTTTATAACAAACTGACAAAAGCCATGAAATCATGATGAGGATATGAGACAAAAACAAAATAACAGTAATCTACTTACCGACACATATATTCTGTATCGTTCAGTGAACCATAACCAAAACTGTAACCGGATAACTGACTACTTGGCATATGAACTTTATGCTTTCGTGAGCAATAGTCTAATTCATATTCTAAATTGAAGCATTGTTTACGAGCGTTTGTTATGTATTGTACGAGGAAGATAGTAACCAATTCTAGGACACAGAAAATAGAATAAACACGGAAAGAATGGACGTAATCAAATCAACGTTTTCACATTTTTCATCTATACTTAGTTGTGTACACTAAGTTTTGAGTAAATACTTTGATCCAGTGGGAGGAATATGACAAAACATAAGAATGTAAAATATGGTGTTATTTTCATAATTGTTGAAGCAACAAAATAGTAAAGACGGGACATAGACTTATCCCCAAACAAATGTGGGAAGATTCCTATTTCACTAAGAACATGTTATTTTCAAAATAAGTCTTTTTTAAATACTTTGTAAATATTAGTAAAAGAATTGATAAACGACCTATTTAGATAAATTTGTCGCAGAAAAGTTTGTTAATAAATCATCTATATATATGGAAGCGACATATATCACGTTAGGATAATGTTACGAAAATCCATATTCATTATTTAATGATGATTACAGATTTCTTCTTGAAGCATAGGAAGAAGTGAAGCCTATCAAGTGTCGCGTGTTCACCGCGTCTTGTTGTACAAAAAATATCGCGCGCCATATAATAAATAAACTGTGTAACTAGAAAATTATTACGATTATAAATATAGTCTGCTAGTAATAATGTCTTTCCACATATGTATCAGTCTCTAAATAATTATTGAACTGAACAACTGTTGGTAAGTAGTATTTATAAAGAAGTTTTCTAATAGCCGGCAGTTTTGAAGACTTAAGAACTGGTCACTGCATATCAACATGCTGCAAACTGTAATATGCATTCGCTACAAATAACTGCCTTAAACTCAAACCTGTGATCGATTGAGATTACACTTATTTTTGGGGCATTTATGTTTCTGAAAATTTCCTTTACGGCCGTCTTATTAAGTTATACTGATCTTGTCTTTTTAAATACAATGACGTTAAAAATTACTGATTCTTTTTTAATTCCTAGCATGGTATCAACAAGTTACACAAGTTGAATGACAGAAAATCTTAAGATTTAGCCTGCAGTTTTGCATACGGGCATCACCTACATTCTTGTGTAGATGCTGTTAACCCCGATGGCAGCTGGTGTTTATGCACTGTAGTAATCACCAAAATTATCAAGTCTGTTTGCAACTAAATATATACTGAGCGTTTACGAGACGTTACAGATGAAAAGGATATCGTACGTAGTGTGAACCGTTGAGGAAATGTCACTGTCTAATGCAGTTTCCTTGTAGTATTAAATGGAAAGCATCTCAGCACATATGCAGCGACCATATGTGATTTCATTGTGAATAACTCACCAACTTATTTGACTCAGAATTAATTACTTGATAAGTGAATGAATATTCCATTCCAAGGATCTTCATGTTTATGTTTATTTGTCATACTAGTTTGTATGGTTATTACCAGACTAAAGCAATAAATAGTCATCTTTCTTTGCATGCAGTAAAGTACTACCTGCTATCTAAATTTGTATATTTCAAAATGAGATAAAGTTCTGACAAATTATGTTAAAGAAAGTCTCCAGAAAAATAACGTGACTTGCCATTTCCTTGAAAAAGTTATTAAGGTTCGTGTTCCAGCAATAAAGGTCATGCTAATCACATTTCGAAGGCGATAAGCAAGAATTATTCACTGCTTGAGATCAGTTGTATTTATACAGCAGTAAAACTTAAGCACTGTGGTACAGTATAACTCCTTATTAGATTGTTTATTTGGTATCCTGCACAGTGGTACGGTACTATCCAGTAGACGACATTTCGAGAAGATTTATCTTTCATATTCTTATCAAAATGATCCTACCACCTTCAAACTTGCTTTGTATAGTCCAACAGCTCATTCATTTATGCATGCAATATGTGATGAGTCAATTCTATTGCATGTGTTAGGTGTGGATCCAATAAACAAAGATTCTGTGATCAATCTCTCCGTTCACCTAGCTACATTGGATTTGAGGATTGTTACCCTATCCAGCTCAATATTGTGATTATGAGTCAGTGTACGGAAAACAATAGACAAATTTTTCCTCAAATTACTTATCTTAGTTGGATTTTCCATTGCTTCGGTAAACTTCTATTCTCTGCTACTCTGAATGACCAAAATCAGCTGCTCTGATCTACGTACTTGGCCCCATAGTCACTACGCGGTATTTTGTTGATTAACTAATTTTACTTAATTGCCTGTGTTGGATCTTGTAGCCTACAAAGTGTCTCGCTGAGCAAGATTCTAGGTCTGAATACCATTCTAGACCCAGCGTTGTTGAGGCTTCTGCAAAAAAATTCTAAAGTGCCTTCTTTATACGGCAACACTGCAGAGGACCTAAACTTCCTCTTAGAGAGGTTGTAACCACGATTAACATTACACCTCCTACTCTCATCAGTCCTTGTAAACAGGTTATTATATTGGAGAGGGTGTTTATTAAAAGTAGTGTATCTTTGATGTGTTCCAGTTTCTTATTTTAGTTTCTTGACTTACTAGTCAAACTCCAAGCCCGGTTACTCAGGCACTTTATCAAGCCCACCTTGACATATATAAAGCGATATGATGTGATGAAGGTTCGTAACGCCATTTTTTCTAGCCATCTTTAAGTATTTCTGCTATGATCGGAGATATTGGACACCTAAACTTTACTCCTTCTGTTTATTTATATATTTTGCCTTGATATTTGGAAATTGTTGGAGCTGGACACAATCGTATCCCTAACATAATTCCTTCACCAGGAATTTTATTTCTATTACTGAGTTCATGACCATTTGTGAGTTCATTTTTGACCGCCACAAGTACCATAATAATTGGTATGTTTACATTGAGGTTGGTCACATCAAAGCTGACAATCTTTTCTCACACCTCTAATTTTACATCATATAGTTTGTATTTCAATTCAAATGAATTGTGGAAGATGAAGTTTGGTCAGTTTCCAGTAGGTCAAAGTACTGTAGCTTAGTATTTAGATGACTCATATGTTGATGTTTCTCTAAAGTCAGCTATTGGTCTAATAGCATGACCTGTCCCATGAACGTTAATGATATCACATATCCTACTAGAATTATTAGTTTGAGAATTAAATTAACCTTCAAACTCTTTGTTGTAAGAAATTATGAGTCTTCACTTGACTTCTTTTTAACACCCTTACTATTAGAGAGTCTGTTCTTTTAGTCATACCAGGTTTAATGATATTATTCACAATCAACGTTTGTCAACTAGAGAGGAGTTGTGACATGATACATTGAAGAAAACAAAGTGAATATAAGAAAAGAGGACCAAAACGGGTGTATGACATTAGGCTGATTTTGGTTTTCACACAGTTATTTTTAGACTTCAACTAGTGATAGCCTTACTCAAGAGATTTTTTATTACTTGTATGATAGTCACTGTCTATCTGAATATGCACTACGGAGTGTTTTTGTTATCTTGAAGTATATCGTATCCTAATTAAAAAGGAGAAGATACTGAGTAACTAGATGAACAATCAATAAACTGCTGTAACATATTTACCTTTGATTCTATAGATGTAAATTCTTGATTTTGACTAACCTACACTTCCTAAACTAATGATTTGACTTTACGTCATGCACAGTAAAGTTTCTAAATCATCACAGTATGATGTTTTCTACCAGTGCTGTACGAAAATCCTGTATTTAAAACGAATTCGTTCCTCTCCACTGTAGTTACAGTAGTATTCAGCATTTTGCTCAGTCAAAAATAATATAAACTTACCCATCAATGTTTTTCATACGTCCACGTAGGTTGATATATCATGCCATACAGATTATTAGCAAGGTTATATACACAGAAACCTCATTTCTTTTCTTAAAACCATGATTTCCCCCACTTGGTCACTCAGTTATCATTCGGTTAATTATGGATTCAAATTCTTCAACCATAACTATGGCTTGTATAATCATCACTAAAAGGTTTACTTTTGGTTCGTTTACCGGTAGACAAAGTTAAACGTAGTTGTTGTGAATCTCTACAACACCATGTTTAGGAGCAAATGACGAGAATTTAAACATCTGAAGTAACACGAGGGATCTTATTGCTTAGATAACGTTTATTGTTGATTGACGAAGAAAATAAAAAATTGACGACGATCTGTTGATGACTAATAGCTTTCTATTTTGGCATTTAGTACAGAACCCATATGTTGAAATAGAGGTATATTTTATGCTACGCAAAGATCCCACGATTTCGTTGAATTTTTGCAGAACAATATAATAAAGTCCTAATTCATAGCACTTAAGTCTAAACGCATCAACTAGATGACTGAATAAAAGGCTTAAGTGTGTTGAACCTAGTGGACACTGATGTCACTTATCACTGAAAACATTTTAGTGATATTCACCCACCTGCGCGTGGCTTGGTGATACCTTTCGCTATACAATTACATCAATATGCTATGTCACTTCAAAAATTAAACTAAAGAAAGAGATTTAAATAACAAGAAACAAGTCCCTAAATGACTAACGATATCAAAGTTACTGCTACAATAATTATTGAAATAATTGATCCACAGACTCGATTAAAATGCAGTGATCTCTAATAAAGATTGAATGAAATTATTTTTTGTTCAAATAGAAGAATATTGCAAATTCAAGTATATCATTGGCCCTAAAACAAAATAATGCACATATAGAGTTTGTATAGGCATGATTTAGCACTAACGGTCAATGACGATAATGTGAGATACTCTGATACAATAAAATGAGCTTGTCAGAATAATAAAAAAGTAAATGATCGAACATTCATACCTTTAGGCTAATATCTTGAGATAATTCCCATAGTTATTATTTATTTATTTTTTTAAGGAAAATTCTCTTCATGGAATACTTAACACCGGGAGAAAATGAAGCTAAAGTCGTTTTAGGCGCATGCTCAATAAGATGAGGTAATCTAATAAAATTTCACGAAAACGAAGGTAGAAAGAATGACATTTATGCCCCTGAGCATAGTACTGAACGACCTTCAATTTATTATTTTAGAAAATGATTTTAGTCACAGACAATAATCCAGTATAGAAAAGAGTTATTTTAGCGAACAATGGA